GGGTTATTGTCCCAACAGGTTGTGAACATCACAATCACATGTCCATCACAATCACATGTCCATCACAACGTCCATCACAATCACATGTCCATCACGTTGTGGACATCACAATCACATGTCCATCACAATCACATGTCCATCACAACGTCCATCACAATCACATGTCCATCACGTTGTGAACATGGCCTACGGCCATGGCCACAACGTGATGGCCGGGTGGTTGGGGACGGAGTAATGGGCTTGCTAAAAAAGGCCTTCTTAGTGCCCACAAAGCATAAAGAAATTTTAAAAAATTTTATCATCAACAACTTTTCAGCAAAAATTACTCCTCAGGTACCCAATATATTCTGAATCACTTACTATAGATCAAAGTTTCCTGATAGAGATTACATTTGAACTAGAAACACAGAAAGTATCAATTTATTTTTCTACTTTAGTTTCGAATTTAAATTTAGATAACGCTCATGGTCACTCAACAAAGCCTAATAATTTGTGCCAAAACTTTAAACTCATCTGTTTTTAACGTTCAATTGCCTGACTTAAACTTCACGAATGTTTTCAGGAGTACTTTTTATCTTAAAATTTTTTCAATATTCTATCAGATTCTTCTGCTGTTGTTTTTTCAATTGCCTGACTAAATGTCTTACTTAGGTAAGACTTTTAGGCAGGCAATAGCCAGCAAAAATTAATGAATGACGTTCCTAATGTTGAACGTTCAATGAAAGTCAACCGGGGAATATAAAAATACGTTCGCTGTCATCGAGTCATGCACCAAGATATAAACTTTGAGAGCGAAGTTTCCTATATTATTTTTCCGAGTTTTTGTTCTCTCCTTTCGTTTTAAACTAAAAGTATCTAATTTTAAGTTTGTAAAAGTATAACGGAGATTTTATTTCCAGATTCTAAACGGATGCTAGAGATAGACGACTTGTATTTAGTTGCAGAAAAAATTTCAGGCTCGTGGAAGAAATTGGCTCGTTTTCTGCCACCCAGTAAGTTTCGAATGCTATAAATTACTTTATCAATGATTATACTTTGCTTTCAAAATATTAGAGAACCTAATGACATGCCATTTCTGAGATCACATAGTTCTTTAGGCTACTATATTATATATGTATCGATTGTAGCATCTTACAGCGGATTTCAGTTCTCCAACTGATGACCATAATTTGTTTTTATATTTTGAAGTGTGATTTTTTTATTTCTGTATACAACAAACATAAACACTTGTTCTTTTTTGTGACGTAGTCATGTCCCCTGTATTTCTGATACATATGCTTCTTAAAATGGCGCTCTCTAGTATTTTGAAGGGATAGTATATTAACTATCATTTAAAAAATAAAAACCTAGTAACATACTTTTATANACGAGGTGAGAATACTGGGAGTCGTATTTTCAATGACCGGATAGTTCAGAAATAAGTTCAGAAAAAAGATCATGTTTTAAGGTCGTATTGACGACTGTAGAAGGAAAAAATCCTAATTATTGTAGAAGAAAAGTGGCCAGTTATAGGAGAAGGACGTGTGTTATCCCACCCAATAGTACACATAAAGAAACAAGCCGAAAAAAGGGACAAAACCCCAGATATCCCTATATCTACCATTTTTTCTGTCTTCTTAATTCTATCCCTTTTTCTGTTATTAGTGTTAAGTTAGTGTTTAAGGTTAGTTTTAAGGTTCCGGGTTATATTGTCGCAATCGGGATCTGTATTGTACACGTGCTTTGGATACAGAGAACTATTATTACCGCTGTAATTTCGCATGCTACTGTTTGCACCGTGAAGTTGGAATCCCCCGAAACAGAATCTGTATAAAGACGCGGAATAGCTTAATTGGAAAATTATATCAACTTTTGTTACTTTATCCTGTCTGCCTTTGTGGTGAATTCTAATTTATCACACTTTCACACTATAAAGACGCGAAATAGCTTAATTGGAAAATTATATCAACTTTTGTTACTTTATCCTGTCTGCCTTTGTGGTGAATTCTAATTTAGCACACTTTCACATTATAAACAAAAACACGCTCAGTGCGAGTCAAAACACGTCGCGTTATTAACGCGAAGCGTCAACTATCGGTCCAAGGTCACACGGACCGGCACCGACTGAGTACGAAAGTAGAGATCCGTATCCGTATCCGTATCCGCGGATATACATTTTTAACGATCCGGCACATCATTAGTTATTACATTTACAGATAAGAAAAATAAGGAATTTTAGAACAAAATAAGAAAAGCTTTAAATGCGAGGAATAATAACAATAATGCTAATAAATTATAATAACGCGATAAAATAATAATGATAAGAAGTCATAAATGAACATTTAGTTTAATTAATTCTAATGTAATTAATTAGATGAATCGATAATTTTAATCAGAATAAATAGCATTGACCTTCAGTCTTTCAAACTTATATCATATCATGTTGCTTTTATTTTCAGGAGATATACATTTTATAAAATCTTATATAAACATACTGATACAACTACTTTCAAGTTTTTCTGTCAAATTATTCACATAAATTCATTTAAATAAATAGAACATTTTGATATTGGCTTAATTAAGACAATTACCGTTTTTACTTTCCCAATGTTATACTTGTATATAACAGAGAATTTGCATAAACTGCAGAAATTGCATAACTCAAATTGTCGAATTTGTTTTAGTT